TGCCGCGGAAACTGCTGTGCAACCACACTCTCAACAACCTTCGCCACAAAGCGAAGGTTGGAGACTGGGCGATAGTTGGCCAATACATCTGGGTTCAGGGAAGGCTTCTTAAGGAGGGGCCTCACCACCGCCTCTTTAAGGGCCGTGGGAAAGGCACCCTCCCCCAGAGAAGCGTTAATAATTCCCTGAAGCCAGGCTCATGTACCCTCCCGAGCCGCCAGTACCAGCCAGGAGGGACACGGATCCAGGTTGCAATAGTTGCAATTATGAGGAACAGTTGTTAAGCTCCCTCATTGTTGTAACTTTGAAAGGTAGTTGAAACAGCGGTTGCTGAACAATCTTAATGCATGCAAACATATTTTTTAAAAATACTTAAGATACTCTTCTGGATACTCTTTTCAATGTACTCCAAAGGCAACATGGATAATTGGGACTAACCCCTTTTTTCATTTTTAAATTAGTCTTTAAAATATGAAAGATACAATATGACTTCTGAGGGACAGCGCCTGAATAAGTTGGGTCCCTTTTTGTAATTTTAGGGAGTTGGGGAATTTGCTGAAAATCTTTGGTTTTGCTCTTAAATTTTGAACTAGTAACTAATATAAACATGAAAGGAAATAATAATAACAACAACAACAATAATAATGATGATGATGATGTTGGAAGGGACTTTGGAGGTCATCTCATTCCTGTTCAGGCAGGAAACCCTATACCATTTCAGACAAATGGCTGTCCAATCGCTTTTTAAAAACCTCCAGCGCTGGAGCATTCACAACTTCTTGAGGCAGGTTGTTCCACTGATTAATTGTTCTAACTGTCAGTTACTTCTAGGTTGCTTTTCTCTTTGGTTAGTTTCCAAATAGTGGATGCCTGTTTTGGCTTCAATATTTTAATTTCATTATTGCATAATGTATGAGATACAGATTGTTAGTGCTTAATTAAATATATACATTTTTTGTTTAGGATGGAGTACAAAATCTCTGAAACACTGATCAAGGCAAAAAAAGACATACAAGTATCATTGCTTAGAACTAAAAATATGGTTCAAAATGGTCCAAATACTTACATGCTTTATAAAAACACGAGGAAAGTTCCATTATCATTCATATCCAAAATGGTTTAAAAAAGAAAAAAGAAAAAAATTAGATACTGCTTAAATCTCCCCAAAAGTTACTGTTTTAATATTTTCAATTTTCAACACTCTTACCTTGATTACATCAACCCAATTCCATCCTCGAGGAAGTTCTCCTTTGTGATCTAATCAAAATAAAAATTCTGTATGTATTTTTGCAATTTGAATTCAAGCATCTATTCTGAAATTAATGTATTAATTTACATCATAGTTTGTGGTAAAGCTTAAAATAGCAAACTCTGGCTTATTGCAAATTATTATGAATAACTGGGCAATGCTTGGCAGTGATGAGGAAGAGAACTTATGGCCCTCCAGATGTTTCTGAATTTTAATTGTCAATATCCCTAACTACTGGCGTTGCTGAGAGTTCTGGTTCAACAACCTAGATTCCACAAAAGAACACGATTCATTACTATTCTGCTAGGAAACAAAAATTACTTAGACATACCTATTGCACACAAAAATTCAACATAAACTATAATGCGGGCAAAAGCCTGTATTTGATCTATTCTATATAGAAAACATATATTCTACACCATACTTTTTTTAATTAAAAGAAAATTAAGATGTATTAGGAGTAAATTATACAAACCTGTTTTGTCAGCTAACTTCCGCTTTTGCGTTTTGGACAATTGTTCCTTTTTCTCCTTTTTCTTAGTTGGTGGTGCTGCATCCGAATGTCCAGTTGAGATGCAGTTATTTAATACTGTCTAAAGAAATGAAATGTATTATTTATTAAGAATTCTCTGTAGTTTTTTAATTCGATACTTGATACTTGCATTAAATGGGATGAAAAGTCATTATATTTGCTTAAACTTTTCTGTTGTCAATACAAAAAGGTTTGTAGGATATAATAAGTAATTTTAACCACTGCTCCTAGAATACTAGATTAATATAGGAATGTCAAACATTGCTACGAATTGAATTCAATCTTATAGTGGCAATTCAATATCAAGAAACTGATAGATTGCATAGGAAAACATTTTCATATGTTGAGATAGGTCAACATTTGGGAATATAAACTTACCACAGTATTAACTGGTTGATTTTCCATGAACAGTTCTTTATTATCTTTGGCATATTCAAATATTGTATATGTCATTGAGGTTCCCAGGTTAACCTCAACTTCTTCCATTAATTTATCCAATATACCTTGTTTTACAGCCGAGGATCTAGGGCAGATGGCAAAGAAGAGATAAAAAGTTAATTCTAGAAAGACCGCTTTTTGAAAGTCTTAAGAACTGGACCACTTACATGGCATTGTTGAAGAATGCATCCATTGATATGACTGGAGCAGTTTGTGGGTATGTTTCTGGCCATGATATTTCTATAAGGAAGGCTTTGGGGTCTCCACTTTTACCTATCTAAAAACATATATAAATCATGTCTATATGGGAATCCAGTCAATTCAAGCTTTAATCAACAAAAATACTGAAATACGGATATTTCATTTTTACATTCAATGTCAATTTTTAGAAGGAATTTTCAAGAAGTGTTATGTCCAACATGTGAGTATTAAAAATACTAATATAATTTCACCAGAATCCATAAAACAGCTACACCGCAGGAAACATGGCAGTATATAAATTTAATAAATTATGATTATATCAATGATCAGCAGGACCTTTCTACCATAAGCTATATTCCCTTTTCATAAATTATGAAAATATATTAAGAAAATGAGTACACCAATCTGAAAATCTCAATGTAAAACTTGGTATATAGTCTTGAGCTGTTGCTGTTTATATAACTAGTATACCTTGGTGTTATAGCTAAACTACAAACTGTCTTAAATATTGTCCTTGCTGAACAACCACTCATTCAGAGATTGTTCAAACTTACAATGGCGCTGAACAAATGGTATTTACAACTGATCCTTGTTTCTGATGGTCGCAACATCCCTGAGATCATGTGATAACAATCCAGGAGCTTGAGTTCATAATTATAATATTGTAGTATCCTGCAGTCACATAATCACCATTTGTACCTTCTTTGCCAGCTTCCTACAAGCAAAGTCAATAGGGAAACTGGCAGGAGGTTGCAAATGGCAATCACATGGCATTGCGCTTAACATCGGTGAATCCATTTAATGGCAATCAGAAGTGCTGGAATTTTCATCGCTAAATACTGTGCTCATGAGACTTCATGCTTTATGACCATGTTGCTTAGCAATGGAAATTCCGGTCCCAATCACCATTGTTTAGTGAGGACTACCTTGATAAAAACAGAACCTAAAGCTTGGAGGTTAATATAGGCTCATTTGAATTAATACAACTCACCCTATATTGAAATGAAATGGGACTAAGTTCCCTAAAACATTCATCACCTTCATAAATAGAACGTAATGCTTCTAACTCCATCTGAAAGAAAGCACAAGCAAACACTTTATAGTTTTATTTTTAATTTAATCTTAAACTGTACTGGGAGATCTATAAACCACTCAGCCAGGCATGAGTGGAATGGTATATATCAGTGGTGGCGAACCTATGGCACGGGTGCCAGAGGCAGCACTCAGAGCCCTCTCTGTGGGCACGCACGTTGTCACCCCAGTCCTAGGCCTTCAGCTGGGTTTTATAAAACCTTTTTGCTTTAGGCCTCCGCCACCATGTGCAAAAAAAAAAAAAAGTTCAATCAATCAATCAGTTTCAACTTCTCGCGGGGAAAAAAAGATCTTGCAAAGTTGGAATTGATTGATTGAAATTTTTAGTCCCACCCAGTCTGCGTTACCCCCGAAGCCACGCCCACCCAATGGGCCACGCCCACCCAATGGGCCACACCCACCCGGCACTCGACAATGCATAAGTGGGTTTTGGGTTGCAGTTTTGGCACTCGGTCTCTAAAGGATTCGCCATCATTGGTATATATGCTTAGTAAAATATTTAAAATAAACAATATCTGATTGAACATAATCTTAAGTCACATTTTAGTAATTTTCAAAAATATTAAAAGAATATTAAAAGAATTCTATAATCCTAGGAAGCTAACCATGCTACATGTTATATATAAAACTAAAAGTATGTGATAAGTCAATACATGTTTTCAATGGCAGATGTCATCAGCCATAAAGTATAGTCAGTAGCATTGGTTATAAAAAGACTGAAAAGAATCAGAAATTGCTTTTTGTGGTGCATGAAAAAAGAACATATATGTATAAAAACAGTGTATAGAGCTGTAGAAAACTCTAATTTCCCAAAGAAAAATGATTATCAGCTATATTTACGCAGCATCACAAATGCATCATTTGGGTTTTATGGAACCACTCCTTAGTACAACCATGGAGCAGAAAGGGTCTATTTAGACCTGACAACTTTTAAGATGGGTGGACTTCAGCTCCCATAATTCTCCAGCCAGCGTGTTAAAGTTACCAAGTTCGAAAAACACTGGTTTTAAATCATCCAATCCAAATTCTACTGAACGGAAGTTAAACCAGGGTTTCGTGCAACGGGTGATGCTGATAACATCTGTCAAAACGTTCCAGTTACCCCATCGTCAAAGTTCCCCGCGTGGCACTAGGGGACATTTGCAACACAGGCAAGCACTCAACAGGTGGAGTTTCCCCCCCCCCCGCGTACTGCTGATCTGCTGCTATACAGCATGTTCTCCCCCCCCAGCAGTTCCTACAATTAAATCCAGGGAAGGGCGGTCCTTTCTTAGCCACGCCCCTCCAGGGGAGGTTTTCACGTAAGCCCAGGGCGTCTTTACTCCGTCCATTCCCGGACTCTGCCAGTCTGTTCCACGCCTTCGTATCTCTCACCTCCTGATCCTCGTTCGCCGTCATGGCGCGACACCGGGGAAGAAGAGCCCCCCCCCGGCTCCTTTCGCTCTCTCCCTTTTCACGGTCTCCTGGAAAAAAAATTGCACGTCAACCCGAGTGGGAATCGAGCACGCCAGATCAATACAGAAGATGGTCCTCGGTGCGCAGGCGCCAAAAATGACAAGGCGGAAAGGGAGTCAGGCGCTACCTCTTTAGCGGTGATTGGAGGGCGTGATCATCTTCGCTCCACTTCCTCCAGCTGACAATTGGTCGGTTCTTTTAACCATACCCTCTGATTTGCACGCTCTTTACCCTAGACCAGGGGTAGGCAACCTCGGCTCTTTTATGACTCATGGACTTCAACTCCCAGAATTCGTGAGTCAGCATAGCTGACTCAGGAATTCTGGGAGTTGAAGTCCATGAGTCATAAAAGAGCCGAGGTTGCCTACCCCTGCCCTAGACCAGAGCAAAGCTCGGTCGGTTCCGCCTCTTTGTTCCTTCTTCTTTTCATTTGCCGCTTCGCAGAACTTTAGCTCTGCCCATTTCTTAGCACGTTCCAATAGTTGGCGCCGGGCGCTCAGGAGCCGCAGTGCTTATTGGTCAGTTATGGCTATCAATCTTAATTCGCCTGCTAAGTGTTTTCCTCAGACAGGCCTCGGCTTTCTGTTCCAAGTTTTCCCTCTTTCCTCTGCACCCGATTGTCGTATGGATCGTGTCACCGAAGGCTGAGGGCGAGGTGCTCCTTCCATACCCGGGGAGGTCGTAGTGCAGGTGCGAGGCAGGGCAACTGAGAACGGGGTCGCCACGGAGCTTGCAGCGTGAGCAGATCCTCTCAAGCAAAGGCACAAGGGGCGGCGGCTGAGAAATAGATTAAAACTGTACACAAGACATCCTGTCATTGTTTTTGGGAAAGTATTTCGGTTTCGTAGGTGTGCCGCTTTTACGTAGAACGTGAAATGGAGACTTGAAGATTTTAATAAAAGCGGTATTGCGCTCAGATTTAAATAAGACTTAAATTAGATTTATTTAATTCCCTAAATTATTTGTTTTCTTCTGAGGAATAAAATAAACCGCTATTCTCTGGAATTACAAAATATGCTAAGCCATCAACCGTAATTTGCAAATCATGCAGTAGAAAAACAAAAGAATATTCTTATTTTATATGGCGTGTAACCCAAGCTCAGTGTGTTTTAGCCTGGGTGGAATAGCCTTCAGTCTGCATGGCTGCCATTACTATGCAACAAATGAATGCAAAACTATATTAATGCAAAATGAAACCAAATAAATCAAAAGAATAGAAAAATGATTTGGTGATAAAGCTGAAAATAGGCTGCCCTTTTCTGCCTTAGAAGGTTTATTGGTTTTATTTTATGGCCATGGTTTCCCAAAACCTTTAAAAATGAGAAATATATGTAGTAGTATGGAGATTATAAATGTAGCCATATTCGATGTGAATAAGTGGGACTCATTGGTAAATTTATTTGAATATCTTTAAAGTTCACAGGTAAGTAATTTTTTTGAAGACCTTGCTGATAACAAGAAGATCTATAAATTAGGCTGTGGCCTAAGATTGAATTTTTTCTATCTGGTTCAGTTTAGCTACAGGCAAAACCATTTAAGGCACACAATATTGTAGTGAAATGTCTAATAGAATCTAGAATTATTCACGGTATATAAACTTTATATCTTGCTGTACAGAAACACCTGAATTTATGTCTGCTTGTCACAGAATAACAACTTTAAATGTTCTGCATATTACAATACTTGTTAGGAAAAATTATTTTGAATATTTTTCTGCTTAAAGTTTCAGACTATATTTGGAACTGTCAATATGAGCCCTTCACAGTGGGATTTTCCAGTGGAATTATGTTGCCGACCAATGGCCTTTGTTACACTCACTGGTTTGGATGTTGTGTATAATGCTGTTCATCGAGCTGTCTGGGATGCCTTTTGTGCAAATAGGAGAGCAGACAGAGTACCAATTTCTTTTAAAGTACTTCCCGGTGATCATGAGTATCCCAAATGCAGAGTAAAGGTATTACCCTAAATATTATAGTAAGAGTTAAAAGTCATATTTTAGTGTAAGTTTATTTTACTGAGATTCAAGTGTTTAAATTCTGCTTTTGCGTATTCCTTTTTCAAGGTTATTTTACATTGGTAAAATAATTCTTTCAAAAGCAAAGGTAGAGATATACAGCTGTATTAAATCAAGCTGAAGAAATAATGCAACATAATTTTAAACCTGCTTCATTAAGAATAAGTTTAGCAAAACTCATGCCGTACATATGCATGTTACGATTTAAAGATAAGCAGGGAAGAAAAATATAGAGCGCTAAACTGGGAGACTGTAGGTTCTTGTCCTGCCTTAAGCATGAAGCCAGCTGTATAAGTTTCTACCAGTCATTGTCTCTTAACTCTAAGAAGAAGGCAATGCCCAATGACTTCTGAAATTTTGCCAAGAAAAATATAAATATTAGTCCAGGCAGTCACCAGGAGTCAACATTTACTAGAGGGGACTAAAAAAACATCACCTGTCTACAGTAGCGATGATACTATTTTTCAACTTTTTCAGAGATTGTCATATGAATGGTACATTCCAAAAGGTATCCTGAAAACAGGTTGGATGAACAAACATCTGAATTTGGTTCCTGCGCTTGTTGTAGTATTTTATGAACTAGATTGGGATGAACCACAGTGGAAAGAAAAACAATCAGAGTGTGCTACTAGAGTTGAAATTGTCAGGTATTATTTTATCTATTCTATAAAATACTGTTTTAGAGTAACACTGAAGAGGGAAAGAAGGTATAATTCACATTTTTTCTTCTTGTTTTGGAATAGAAGCCGTTATCTATGTGCATTTGCTATTGCCCATCTGAAAGAATAAATAAATTTTAGTTTGTTAAGTCCCATACATATGGTATTTCTGCCTTAAATAATTGATTGCCTGAATCTTTATAAACTTTAGTTAGCTTAATGTCTTATTTTTTTCAGGCAGAGTTTGCAGGGCCGAAACACAAAAGTTGCTGTAGTTTTAATTCAGAAGAAAACCCCCTTACCTCCAGGTAAAATACAATTTAACTACGGTTGTATGATTGAAATATGGTAATCTAAAGTACTGTGGAATGTTGTTTTTGTTTAGTGAGCAGAAATATGAGCAGTGAAAACAGTTGGAAATAGTTTAGGTTGGAATCCAGTATTCATCTTCCACCAATGAAATTTTTTTCAATGAAAGCAGGACATTTCAATAAACCCAGAAGGACTGTCCTGGATGATTGGATATCCTTTGGAACAGATTTGTAAAGTTTGCCCTATCACATTTTTTGACAATCAAAGCAGTTCTGTTAAGGGAAGAGAAGACTAGATGCATTACAATAAACAGGAACCGTTTGTTTATAATACAACTACACTTTGTAACTGACAATTTTGCAGTACAATTATACTTAATTAGGAAAAATATTTAATAAAAGATATAGAACAAGATACATCTAGGAAATCTTTTAATAAATGCTTTGGTTAAGATAATGAGAGTCTGCATTTTAGAAATTCACAGACAAAACATTTTCTCTTCCTCCTTTTGAAAATGCATAATTCATATAAATTATTACTTGAAAGAACTGTCCATCAAGCCAATTGCTCTCAAACGTTGTTTTACAAATTACAACTGGAAATTTGGATCAGTCTGGACATAATTATTTGCTATAGCCTGAAAGCCATCAACCTATAAAATGGATCAGTCTTTCCTATGAAATGGATCAGTTAATTATTTCAGCTGTTGCATAATGAAAAAAACAGTTACAGCTGTATGCAGAGAAGTAGTGATTCTGATTCTTTCTAGGGAAGGTGGTTGCAGTCAGAGTGTGAGGAGAGATCAAGCCTTGAGCATCAGGGTTGCTACAGGGCTGATCCCTCTCCCTCATCTTACTGAGTATCTCAGATGATAAGGTTGTATAGCACTTGGCTATACAACTCCAGACTGAATGGGAGACAAGTGGAAGTCTTGATCTTGTGTTTGGAAGTTATGGGTTTGGAAGCAGAGGAATACATTAAAAATCAAACAGCTAGCTATTCCAAAAGCCAACTGATTACAAGACAGTTCCAGCTTTACTTGTGAATAGGCTTGTGATCTCCCAAAATAAGATGGGTCATAATTTGGTGGTCTTTCAGACTAACAATTTATGCCAGATGAAGAGGTGCCATTTGTGCTCGAAGGACTTTTGCTCAGCTTGGCCTTGTATTCCAATTATGATCATTCCTGGAGTAAGACACAGTAGTAATAATTACTTGTACCTTTACTCCTCATGGTTGTATTATTGTAATTTCCTTTACACAGGACCATCTAGAAATGACAGCTAGTGCAACATGCAGTGGTTTGCATATGAATGGGATTGTTTTGATATTCCCATATAACTTCTGTATTGTGGGAGCTGCATTGATTACCAGTTTTTGTTTTCTGGGTGCAGTTCAAGGTGTATGGTTTAGGATTTGGATATCTATAAGACTGCTTGCTTTGAATAGAATTTGCCCCTCTGAGATATATATAGAGAGAACATTTGTTAAGAGATATCTGTTCTCTGCTGAAGGTCATCTCTTTTGCAGTCAGATACCCTTCATCCTATTTATTAACATGTATATGTTTGTAAATTAGTTAAATTGGCTCAATTAAAGAGGCATATTCAATTGTTTGAGACAAAACACATATATATTCCACTGATGATGATACTGTTTAATCATGTTGATTCTCGGTGATTCTATGTACTAGTTTTCTTCACATTTTTTGATCTTGTATAGCTTCTTTCAATTGTTTCATTGTTTCCTAGATACAGCTTATTAAAGTTTGTGAATATTTGGATTAAGATTATTCAAATCATTTTTGAATGTGCCTGTGTGTATTTGCTCTAGGAGAAGATGTTATTGCTTCAGAAAGGGCAGCAGCTTTATGTAATGCTTGTGACCTCTCTGGAAAGTCCCTGTTTGTTTTGCCACACACTGATCATCTTGTAGGTTACATTATAAGGTAAGCAGATAATATAAAATACTGTATAGGCTTTTCCACATTACTTCTTTAGAGGCAGAAGTCTTGTGTTGATATCCTTAGAAGCATGCTGGTGAGATTTACTTTAAAGTAATTGGTATAACAATGCCTTTCACAATTTAAAATCACTTT